TAAAATTTAATAATATTTGAAATTTTAAACTTTATTTCTTAGTTTTGAAATGATTGATACTTAATCCCTTGAATGTGAAATTTTCCCATAATATAATGGGAAATAATTTTTTAACAATATTTATAACAATAGGGAAACAAAATGATCCGAAGGCTCATTTGATGGATATTGGCCCAGAAACATTGGTTTCGGGCCACTTGATTCAAGGCCTTTTCTAATGTGAAATTTTCACGTGTACCACAAAAAAGTTCTTAAAAGGAAAAAAAATCATATCTAGGACTTAAGTTTAAGGCAATTCAATTTTATGAGAACAAGTTTATATTTTCAAAACTCAAATGATAATTAAATTTTATTAATTAAACAAATAATTATATATAAAATAATTCTAATCTCTTTCAAGTTCTGGCCATAATCATCGCCATCCGTCCGCAACATTCCCTTTTATAGTTGCCGGTATCCCCATCGCCAACATCCACTCTCACAATCACCGACATCTAAATAACTTTGTCGGAAAAAAGATAAAATTTATAGAGATCGCCGACAAGTGAACATCTTCTTTAGCGACAAACTAATCATTACTCAACAGTTATTGAGCATCGTCGACTCAAATAATAGAAGGGGGGAGGGGGGGATATAGCGACCATTGAGGAACATCGGCTGAGCGTCGCTGACGACTGTTCATCTTCTTTAGCGACGACTGAGCAGCACTAGTGTAATTTAAATTTATTTTTTAAAATTGAAAATTGAAAAACAGCCCCTCATGTAATTTACATAATACTCACCGAATCAAATAACTTCAATTCTCTACTTTGAAATCTAACTAATTGAATTTGTGATCAGTTCAAAGAAATCAATGCCATGTAATCAATTATCTTATAAATGGTGACTAATTAATATTGATCTGTGAACATGTATGACATACAATATGAGCTGTGAATGGCGACGAGTGACCTATGAACTATAGCTCGCGACACGTGAACTATAACATGTGATCTGTGGACATATGTGATATGTGAACTATACCTATGATCTATAACCTACGACCTGTAAACATTTATAACCTATACAATATGACAAGTGAACTATAATATGTGACCAATTAATATTGACATATGAACATATATTAGTGATCTGTAACATGTTAACATTGATCTGTGATATATAACAAGTGAACAAAAACATGTGACATATTATCAATTTACATGTCACGTGTTATTTATTGGTCACAATCCTTGTTTATACAATCTCAACCTAATCCAAATCTAGTACTACCAACCAACACCACTTATCGCTAACACCATCACAGAGCATCGAATCAGAAAACCACCTACAAAAAAATATCAACAAACAACACCACCTCCACCACTACCACTACCACCGGAACTTGTGAATGATAGCAAAATAAGCAAAGTGATAGAAATAAAGTAGGCAAAATGAGCAAAGTGCATAAAGAAATCCACACTACCTACACGACTTTTGATAGAGAGAGAGAGGGAGAGAATGGAATAATGAAGAAGAAAAAAATGGGTAGAAAGAGAAATTAAAGCTTAGTTAGAGAACTCGAGAGAGAAATGTAAACATGTGGGGGAAATTAAATGATAGAAAGAGGAAATAGATAGTATATTGGGTCGGGGGTGGGGTGGGTAAATTTTATAATAATATTATTAATATTAATAGTTGAATTATGACTTGATTTATGATTAATTAAACCTTATTAGGGATGACAATGGGGCGGGTATGAGATGGTTGGCCATTCTCACCCCTGTCTCGTCAGATTTTTTTTGTTACCTTATCTCATCTCCATGCCCGCTTAAAGCGGGATGGAGCAGATTCGGGCGGGATTGGATCGGGGCGGGGAAAGTTTTATGTCCCATTTATTGTCCTATTTATGTATTTTTATTATTTATTTTATTTTTTACTTTTA